AAATACACAGAATAATTATGCCGGCGGCTTCTATAAATTAGGCTTCCCTATTGAGAATTTTGACCGGATCACATATGTGTTTTATCAGAACAATCATATACTTTCCCCTAGAAAATAAACATATGCTCACATGGAACACACTCATGCGGTCACATAGCAAAAAAATGTGTTCATTTGGAACACGCCGATATGGTTAGTTAGAACACACCAAGAATATACAGTTATTCACTTGAAACACTCATGCGTGCATCCGTAGCATGCTGCCTATAGCTTAATAAAACGAATGCGTGCACTCAGATACGCATTTTGCACATATCTTGCATTTCATTTTTTTCATCAATATAATCTTTCCTAGTTAGTGTAGGATAGAATGACTCAGATGTCTCAAATCTCGGCCGGTTAGTATTAAAAATAATGCTAAGCTTACAATGGTCTTGGCTTAATTTGTGATTGCACCCTCTTAAACTCCTTTTGCACCCCCTCTTTTTTGATCGATTTTGTATATTTTTGATTTGATTAAAATTACACCCTTACAATCTTTTTTTGTTCGATTTAACATAGTTTTAATTTAATTTATAATTATAACCTATTATAGTCCTTTTATATCCCCTTCTTATATATCTCATTTTTACATATTATTAGCTTAATTTGTAATTCTATATCTCCCATACCCCTTATATTTTCTATTCTATATAATTATATTTTCAAATAGTATAGTTTTTAACTTATCAATTATAATTCTTAAAAAACCTATATTATTCATATTTTCCAATTCTCTATTAGTTATTTTGTAAGCCGGATATCAGAATTAATCTATTTCGTTCCTATTAAGCAATATAAGTAATACTAGCGGGGGCCCGCTATTTTCCAGCAGCGTGCGAGATAAAGCCCATGGCAAAAGAATAACAAAATCAGAATATGAAATTAAAAACCTTCCAATTTAACAATTATAGATCAATATACACTAAAATTACAAAGACAGACATAGGCGACCGAGCAAGTGCTTAACAAAAAGCGGTTTCGGAATATTTTGAGAAAATCAATAATTTGGATTTTACATTTTTGCCTTAGACCCTGCCCAAACAAAACAATTTGAAAAAAAAAAAAACTATGTGTTACACTAAACCGAAGACCCAATTCTAGAGACTATAGATTTCTTAGTAATAACTCAATATGTTTCCTAAAGCACTACCATACACAAAACAACAATGTGTTTCAAGTACGCGACACCAACGTGTAAACATTTAGCCAATGAAATACAATCACCTAAACAAGGAAAGACTAAACCCATAGACTATTAGCCGCAAAAAATCAATTCCCATACAATCAAAACACATCCTAGATATATACAAATATATTCGATCAATGTAATCAATCATATATTCGAATCTCTTAAACTAAACCGAATAACCTAAATCCTATAAAAAAACAAAAAATATCAATTCCAATTTTAAAATATCCCATTCCATTCCTCTAAAAATTATTTCTTATTCCTCCATAAATATTTCAACCAAAACAAACCCATATAATATAATAACGGCAAATTGCCACACAAAAAACAATATATTTACTCTTTCAAACGAAACCGTGAAACTTGCTCGTCGCACTTGCGCGCGTTTTCCCGGACCGCTTTTCCGAAAAATCCCGGATATTTCGGAAAATTGGTCCGGACTGCCCCGGGAAGATGTAACCGCTTCATAATTCCTACGGATCGCTCGCCCAAATCTGTCCGGGCTACCCCGGCATATGTGCGGAAGACATAGTGGCTTCATTTTTTGTAGGGACCAATTTCCCGAAATATTCCAGATATTTCGGGAAAGCGGTCCGGGAATCGCAGCCACCCACCATTTTCTTAAAATATTCTGAATATTTTAAGAACCATTTTCCCGAAATATTCCAAATATTTCGGGAAATGCCATCGTCGAAATATCCGGAATATTTCGGAAAAATGGTCTGGAGTGCGACTATCGAAATATCCGGGATATTTCGGAAAAATGGTCCGGACTTTGAACGAAATCGTTGTGTCTTCTAGATCAAGAGTCTAGGCATATATCTTCCCATCCGTAGCCGTTGAACGAAGCCGTTGTGTCTTCCAGATATGGAGTCGGGAAATCTTGGCCCATCTTCCGAGAGTTTGGCGATGCGATAAGCAGTCCTGCAACCACCTCCTGGCCGCGGGAGCGGCGGGGCAGCGCCGAGACAAGCGCGCGATAAACCGTTTTGCACTGGCTCGCTCCACAGGGCGAGGGCGCCAGGGGACAAGCGGCCAGCCGCCGCGTGCAACTGGGGCACGCGCAGCCAAGAGCTCACACGCGCGTTCTTGCAGCCCGTTTGCATCACGGCTCTCGGGCTCGGAGTCGGACGCGTGCACGTGCGCAGGCGAAGCCTGTGGCATGTCGACATCAGAATCCGGCGCGCTGCGCGCCGGGATGTCAGTGTCTTTCCCTGTCTCTCTTTGTCTGTTGGTCTGTCTGTCTCTGGTATCTGTTTCTTTGTTTGTCTGTCTGTCTGTCTGTGTCTGTCTGTCTGTGTCTGTCTGTCTGTCTGTGTCTGTCTTTGTCTGTGTCTGTCTTTGTCCGTGTCTGTCTGTGTCTGTGTCTGTGTCTGTGGCTGTTTGTGTCTGTGTCTCTGTGTCTCTGTGTCTCTGTGTCTCTGTGTCTCTGTGTCTGTCTGTTTGTGTCTGTGTATCTGTCTGTCTGTCTGTGTGTCTGTGTGTCTGTGTGTCTGTGTGTCTGTGTGTCTGTGTGTCTGTGTGTCTGTGTGTCTGTGTGTCTGTGTCTGCGTGTTTGTGTCTGTGTGTTTGTGTCTGTGTTTGTGTCTGTGTCTGGTTTTGTCTCTGTGTCTGTTTTTGTCTTTGTCTTTGTCTGTGTTTTTGTCTCTGTTTGTTTGTCTGTTTGTTTGATTGTTTGTTTGTTTGTTTGTTTGTGTGTGTTGTGCGCCGAAGGTGTTTCTTTTTGTTTTTGTTTCTTTGTTGGTGTTTTGCTTTGTTTCTTTTTGTTTGTTGGTCTTTTTGTTTTTGGTATTTGTTTCTTTGTTTGTTTGTTTGTTTGTGTTTGTTTGTTTGTTTATTTGTGTTTGTTTGTTTGTTTATTTGTGTTTATTTGTGATTGTTTGTGCTTGTTTGTATTTGTGTTTTTGTATTTTTGTGTTTTTGTGGCTTTGTGGTTTTGTGTTGTTGTATTTCTGTGTTTTTGTGCTTTTGTATCTTTGTGCCTTTGTGTTTTTGTGCCTCTGTGTTTTTGTGCCTCTGTGTTTTTGTGTTTTTGTATTTTTGTGTTTTTGTGTTTTTGTGTTTTTAGTTGTTTTGGCTGAAAGATATATAATGGATGTATTTTAGAATTGTTTTTTTTTTTTTCTTCGAGATTTCTTTTTGATTTAGCCTTAAAAAAGGGTGTTATAAATATGCATTTAAGTGATAAAATATTTAAATTAATGATGAGATGGTGAAGTTGGTCGATTTCGGCTTAATTTAAGAGAATCGAATATGTAATTTTTTAGATTGATTGAAATCGCATTAGTATGGCTTGTTATGGAACAAATATTTCTATGAACAATTTTTTTAGGAGGTTGGAAAAATAATTATTTATATTATTTTTGTTAAAATATTGTATTGCAATATTAAAATATGGGAATGGATTTTTTGAGGTATAATAGTCTATGGATTTATTCTTCCCTTGTTTAGGCGACCGCTTTTCATTGACTAAATGTCTATATACTAGCATCGAGCACCTGAAAGATATTATTATTTTAAGCATCGTAGTGCTTTAGGAAATATACTGAGGTGCTATTAAGAAGTTCTCTAGAATTAAATCTTTAATTTAGTATAATATATATTTTTTCGAAATATTATATTTAGGTAAGCTCCAAGCAAAATCATAATTATATATTTTTTCGAAATATTACGAAACCGCGTTTTGTTAAGTATTTGTTCGATTTGTCTGTTAATATATATATAAATCAAAATAACCAAAAACAAGAAGGAAATAATACAAACAACAATATATAATAGAAAAATATTATATCATTTCTTTCCTTTCCATTTAATTAATAATAAAAGTAAAAAAAAAAAAAAAAAAACAAAACATATATAAATCATTAATTTATATAATAATAATCAATAATAAATTATAATATACCAATTTAAAACAATAAACCATTAAAAACATAAAATAAACACCAACATTCCAATTTGTTTTAAATTATAAATAAATATATATATATATATATATATCATAAATATATATATATACATACATCATAATTAAATATATACATAAATTATTCATATATTCATACATTTACACAATCACACTAACATTCATATAAATATATATATATATCTATACATTTACCCAACCTCAATTCCCATATAATATTATTATATTAAAATACAAAAACAACACATTTTGTATTTAGCTTTATAAAACATTTTTTTTCAAAATAAATCATTCTATATATATAAATAATAAATAATTATTCTAAAAAACTAAATTTAAACATACAAATATATATATTATGTTTATACTTCATTACCTAATATATATATATATATCTTTATTTTATTTTATATATAACATATAATAATAAAACTAATTTAAAATATTCAAAATTTATATATACATATATATACGCCAAACATTTGTTATATCTAAATATAAACATATAATGAACTAACCATTTAAGCACGAACAAAAAAAAAATATTTCCAAATATCTAACCAATACAACAAATTTATATTTTTTTTCGAGCCGCCCAAATAACCAAACGAAAAAGATAAATTCTCAAGAATTCCCTACTCGTCCGGGTCATTTCGTATTACCTTCCTCGAAAGCTTTACAACGTGGCGAAGGATACAAGCATAACGAAATATTTGAGGATTTGTAGGTTGTGTCCGGCTCCGGCCTCCGAAAGCGCGGGTGCAAGTTGCTCAAGCTCAGTTTCGGGGTGAAGTAGGCATATTCATATATATATATATACATATTGTAATTCTGACGATTTTTGAGTTATCCAAATGGACTTGACTTCACTCCGCCAGCCTGCAAAGGTGCAGTCCAGTGGTCCCTCCAACCTGAAAAACCAGCCTGGGCCTGGCCGAACGGTGCCGAGAGGGGCCCATTTGCCTCAGCCCAATGCCCAATTGAATGAATATGGGGCTGTCTTTGTTCTCAACATAAACCAAAAGGAAAGCCATTTGGGGATTTTGGGGGGTCCACCCGAGTATGTTTCACACCTCAAGGACCCAGCTGGGCATCCGCAAGGTCCAGGAGTGGGCCCGGGACCGCAGGGACCGTAGGGACTGCAGGGACCGCAGGGACCGCAGGGCCCAGGACCACCAAAGCATCCACCGCAGGGTCCGGAGCCGCAAGGCCTTGGCACCCATCTTGCAGGGAGGGTTCAAAGGGTGCTTTTGGCACGGATCATGGAGGAGTCACGTTCGTGCAAGCAACTGACAAAGTGACAGGTGGTCCATTGTTAGTCTGGGGACATGGAGGCCACCCAAGGTCTCCAGAGAAACATAGTGCAGATGTTGCACTCGCAGGACAGCAACTGAGCACTCCACCCAACACCTCGCAACATATGGAACATGATCCCAAGCTCATCAACCTTTTCCTTGCGCTAAAAATTAAATTACTTGTAGCCTCGCTTCTCTCAAAGCGCCTGGAGCTCCGGCCCCCAAAGGATTTACCTTGCGACACAGCACTCACTGACTTCCAGACTTGAGCTCTCCCAATGCAACAAGGTTGCATAGAGTGAAGCCGCTCCAGCATTTCTACCCAATGCGGCTCCAGCAAATGGATTGCCTGATATGAAGGCTATCAACAAAATCGGTGCATCTGCTGATGCGCCTCCTGAACTTCCCATCGGAGGAGGACCAACCATAGGCGGGCCGCCAGCTGGAGGTCCGCCCATTGGCGGGCCGCCCATTGGCGGGCCGCCCATTGGTGGGCCGCCTGTGGGCGGACCGCCCATGGGTGGCGGAGGCTCAGCCACCTTGCATTGCCCATTCCACTTGTGCATGGAGGCAGCCGCTAGGTCAACCCCACTTCATATGTGACATGGATGGCCTTGGGAAGGAGCTTCTTGCCCGTCATAGGATCATACTCGGAGGCGTCGGCCTGTTGCTGCTCCTTGTCACGAGTTAACTTGACAACCGAGCTGCCTCCCTCACGGTCCTCCAGGCCGCGCTGGAACCAGCGACCTTTCTCCTTGTCAAAGTAGAACCCTCCTTGCGCCTTCCATGACAAAGATCCACCTCCCGGGCTCCGTCCTGGAGCCCTGCCTCCCCCTGGCTCTGAGTTTCACTCTTGGCACTTTCTCCCTTCATGGCCTGAGCATCCAGCTGAACTGAACACAGAGTTCGGCCACGCTTCGCACTGAGGCCCTTGCTGAGAACAAGGACTTTCCGAAGCCAAGGACTGCCTGGCGGCCGGCTTCTTGCCGTCTTGTTTTGCAGGAACCCTTTTCATGGCTGGGAATGCTCCCAAAACAAGGCCATACCGAATACCGCGTATAAATCAATCCAGCCTTCCCAGCATTAATGAGTGGATCGCTCTCCACAGTCTCTGTAAAATCCATTCGATCAGGCCGTTTTGGCGGCTCCTGTTGTGTGAAGCACTACGGCAGTGAGACAATGTGAAGCGACAGCTCATGCCCTGCATGTCAGTGTAACACTTGTCCTGCGAGCCATCCATTCGATCAGGCCGTTTTGGCGGCTCCTGTTGTGTGAAGCACTACAGCAGTGAGACAATGTGAAGTGACAGCTCATGCCCTGCGTGTCAGTGTAACACTTGTCCTGCGAGCCATCCATTCGATCAGGCCGTTTTGGCGGCTCCTGTTGTGTGAAGCACTACAGCAGTGAGACAATGTGAAGTGACAGCTCATGCCCTGCATGTCAGTGTAACACTTGTCCTGCGAGCCAACCCCCCCCCCCCCCCCGTCTCAATTACTTTGCTTCAGGGCACCAGCACCACCCCCCCTACCAGGACTCTTTCCCTTTCCCAAGCACCACCACCCCCCCCCCCTACCAAGACCCTTTCCCTTTCCGAGCACCACCCCACCACCGGTTTGTTACACAATTGATCTCCCGCAACCATTTGGCTCAGGCCCTTCTGTACCATAGCAATACTCATGATTGCGCAACAAAGGAACCTTTGCAGGCCGCTTATAGGATTATACACAATACAATCCACCAGAAACAATCCATCCTCCAATCTCATCCATATTGGCATATTGGACTCTCTCCGGAATAGATCCAGGGACCAAATCAACGACCTCTACTACCACAAGGGTACCAGTTCCCTTCTGGGATAGGTACCCCGGCAGTGGGCCTCAATTTGTGGTAGCGGAGCAGGTTTTCCGCAGAGATCCAAGGGAAGATGTCATCCGATGGAGAAGGCTTCATGGAAGCCTATTCAAGTATGGCCAAGCCACAAGGCTATACGGAGGAAACACTCAGTTTGTCGATGACCGCCAAGCAGCCGCCATCGTACGACGGAAAAGTCAGCTGGTTCAGGTATGAAGAACTCGTGGACGACTGGGTGACAATCACCACGGTGGAAGCACCCAAGAGAGGACCTCTGCTCAAAAGCAGACTCACTGGAGATGCATAGATGTGCAAGGCAGTCCTCCAAAATGACCTTTTGCAAGATCCTGACGAAGGAGTCAACTACTTCAAGAACACGCTGAAGAAGTACTTTTTGAAAGGTGCGACCAACGTGTATCTGTACAGGATCCTCAGTTTCTTCAATCATCGAAGGCAGAACCAAGAGTTCCTCATTTTTACCTCGAAATTCGAAATCCTTCTCATGAGATTGAAGGCAGCATGGATGGACTTGATTCCAGTTTTCACGGCACAGTCCCCATCATTTCGACAGTCCGTACAGGACGCAAATGCAAGAACAATTGCTCGACATCAGCAAGCAGCCGGTGTTCGAGCACCGCCTCCAGTCCTGCTCAATGAGGAAGATCCAACAGTCCTCAGACAGTGTATCACGGGAATGCAGGACAGACAGCGGGACGCATTTCCCTTCGGGGATAATCTCATTGCACAGCTTTTCATCATTCAGAGTGAATTGTCAATCAGCAAAGAGAAAGGCTGACAAGTGCAATGTGATTGAGAAACATCTCACTAGAGAACTACTCCTATGAGATGCTGAAGACTCATAACCATGAACTCTTCATCACGACCAGGACATCCATTCAAGATCCATCCATCCGACCTCAAGGAGGTAACCGAAGCAACACCTTCTTCATCATCGAGCAAGGTGCATATGAAGGAGAAGGCTTTTGGGTTGAGGATGAAGAAGGACTTGAAGGATTCATGTCAAACAACGATGAAGAGACATTCTGGGTCCTCGAGGAGATCCTCCTCCGGATCCTCCACATCAGCCTGGTCATCCCATGCCGCCAGCGCCACGCAGTGTATCACCGGACAGTCCAGTGGATCCACCACTGCCGCCACATGACAAACCTGGCGGAGGAGATGCATTTCATCCTCAAGCGGACTCAATCGACTGGGGGGTGATGTCTCTTTGCCGTCACAGTCGCAATCATCTCAGCCAATTCTTCCGACCTGCGATTCTTACGAATCCCGAAGCAGAAGACCAAGATGAAGATCTTGAACTGCCAACACTTGTGCAAGAAGAAACAACTGGCAGTCCATCAAAGAAGCAGAAGACTGGGAAGAAGAAGAAGAAGCCAGATGACAATGATGAGTCACCGGGGCACTCTCCCGGAAATGAACCTGCATCTTCATCCAATTACAATCCGAGCAATCCAGCAAACTTGCCGGTACAATATGAAAGTGAGGAAGAACTGATCCCTCATGTTCCACCTCATCCGGCACTGGAAGTTCAGAAAGAACCATGAGATCTACTGACCAGGAAGATGGAGAATCAGAAGACTGTCAGAGGACCAGATCTTACGAAGATCACCAAGCTGATCTCGTTCTTGATGAAGCACATTGGTCACTCATGACAGCCGAACAGAAGATCTGTGCGAACACCGGATCCTTTACGGTTCCGAGAGATATCGAAGGTAACCCTGTCTCTCTTGGACGTGTGAAAGGGACCTTCCTCCCATCGCCCCGATGCGGATTCTCTCATCAGAAATACACAGATCAGAATCATGTTGACCAGTTATGCAAGAACATGACCGATGATGACCGTGCACTCTTAGTATTGTGTTCACCCAAGCAAGAATCCTTAAAGGCTTCATCCACATCCGCACTCATTGGCAAGAAGCGGAAGGAAGCTACAGCCACGGAAATAAGAGCTTACCAGAAGCAATTCCTTGAAGCAAAGCAGCTCGAGTGCAAATCTTGGCTTGATAACGAAGTGTTCGACTTAGTCGACACACGCAAGATTCAGGTCAGGAACTGGGTCACTGGTCGCTGGGTCCTTACCCTAAAGCGAGACAAGGATGGTAACTTCCTGAAGACCAAGGCTCGCTGGGTCCTCCGAGGCTTCCAAGACAAGCAGAAGAACGATCAGCAGACAGACAGTCCTGCTGCATCCAGGAGTGGCTTCAGCAGCCTCAAATAAAGGCTGGAATATATTTCACATGGATTTGAAGACAGCATTTCTCCAAATCAAAGCATACAATCAGACTCGTGACATCATTTGTCAGATCCCTCCTGAAATGGGATATCCACCACACATTGGAGCGCGCATGAAGAAGCCTGCCTACGGGCTAAATGACGCACCCCGCAGATGGTGGAACATCCTTGATTCGGCACTCCGTTCTTACGGACTGGCGCCAACCAGGGCAGACCGTTGTACATATGTATACTACGGCAGGCAGCTTCCGAAGCCCGCATTGGTGAGTGAGAAGAAGTCATCCAATACTTTCGATCTGGAAGGAGCAGTTGATTACCTTATGGATCCTGTTTCTGGTAACAATGCCAAGAATCGACAAGTTCATGGAGCACTATCTCTTCATGTAGATGATCTTCTTATGACGGGGGATGACGTGTTCGAGAAGGAAATCATGGGACGACTTCGAAAAGATTTTCAAGTTGGTTCCGAAGACAAAAATGATTGCCTCTTCGTAGGACAGCGCATCCAATGGAAGCGAGATGACAAGCACGGTTGGTACATCAATGTCCATCAGAATGTTGCCATTGACGAACTTCAGGAGATCACTTTTGACAAACACCTGAAGGACGACACTCCTCTTACTCCACAAATGCATACTGCATACAGAAGTGTCCTAGGTCAGATCAATTGGTTACAATCGCGAACGCACTTCCACATTGGTTATCAGTTCTCCAGGTGTGCATCCAAGGCATCATCACCGACCATTGAGGACGTTCGCGCCATTAATACGACAGTCAGAACCATCAAAAGCATTCCGCTTAGTACGCCCCTTCGTGGCAAGACACGCATAGTTGGCTATCCAGATGCATCCTATCGCAACAATGAGGATAAGTCACCCCAACGTGCGCATGTTATATTTCTTGCAGAACAAAGAGATTTTCGCCAGGGCTCATCGAACTCGAGAGGCTCATTGGTCAACTATGAGACGCACAAGATCACCGCCACAACCATGTCCACTACTGTTGCAGAGTTGCACAGACAAATGCGTTGTTACGGTTCAGCATTATTTCTTCGCGGCCTCTGGTCAGACATAACAGGCGAAATCGCAGATGCACACATCCGCACTGATGCGAATAATCTTGTCACCACAGCATCCACAACACATCAACCGGAACAGAAAGAAACAATGCATTTGATCCAGATGTTGAGAAAGGAAAGCAACAGTGGACAGATGCATGACCTTGCACGTGTACGGAGTGAAGATTGACTCGCTGACCAAGCATTCAGCTAAAGCAGACGAGCTCATCAAGGCCGTCCTCACCGGCAATCTCTTGAATGTTGGTGCACATCCACCCTTCCGTACCATGTTACAGAACAAGGCATTTTTGGTTGAGTGGCTAGCGCACAATACGAAGCACGGACCCGACATCATTGCCTTTGCAGGAGTCGGTATAGCAGAATCCATGTTTGCTGGCTGGGGAACCTGGGCATGATCCGCATGTCCACGAATTCTGATGCATGAGTTTTCCCATTTTGCACATTTTCAACTCCTCAAATCCGTGATGCGTGTTTTAGCACTTGACCCATTTTGAATCTCAAGAAATATGTGTCTGCATCCGCAGCCACTTTCGGTTTACAACCATTCCGACCTTTGCAATCTTGTATGCTCGATCATTTCGAAGACATGCCGATTCTCAACATGATCTTTGGACGATCCAGCACCGCGGCTCCTTTGCCGAAGCCGCTGGTGAAGAGACGGGCATCTCCGTTGAAGGAATCCCCTGCTTGTGATGAGGAAGATGAGACGTCCGACTGCCCCATGGCAAGTAGTTGATGAGAATCCATCCGCCTCTCAACAACCCGAGAATGTCAACATGGAGCAGGTTGATTATGATCCAGATTCTGACGACGACGATGATTCGGATGAAGAAGAGCATCCTCCCGCAGGAAGGCCGACGTCGAAGGCGATGCCACATCCAAAACTGGTTCCAAAGTCACCGCCACCAGCACTGAGGCTTGTCTCAAAGGCCAAGCCAGCACCAAAGAACATCCTGGATGAAGAGACGGAATCCGACAACCAGCCAACTTCCAAGGCGACCAGCGATGCGGCCAATTCTCACATCCAATGATCGGTGGTTTGTAACATATGGCGACATCAGCCTCCAGAAGGAATCCGTACACCCAGGACCTTTCGGACATTCAATATTCCTCAACTTCGTGTACGAAAACTACAAGGAGTGCTCAACCATCCTCGAGATCAATCCGGACTTCCACTTCATTCCTGAGCATGAACGAC